CATAAATTGGGCGTATATTTACGTGCAAATCCTAACGCGCGGTGGCGTTAAATAACGTTCGGTGGCGTTTTCTACCCTAACCCTAACCCCAACCCTAACTCACCGCGCGTTAGGATTTGCACGTAAATATACGCCCGATTTATGGCCCCAACGGCTTGCCATAGCTTTCACCCTGGCTGCGATGACAGCCGCTAATCGCTGTAGTTTGTCGCTGCCCGTGTGTCGAGCCCTTAATGTGATGCTGTTCACTTCACATCACTTATTGCGCAATTTTATTCGCGACGAACCGTTGGGTCACGAGACTCACGCTCGCACGCGCATTTCCTGAATAAAGCTCGTGTCAAACATCTGCCTTTAAAAGAGTCAAACCCAACTTCACCTCACCTATAAATGGACTAAAAACCAAGAGCATTAACGTGCAGAGGCGCTCAGGTGACTTAAATTAGCAGGAAATCAAAATAAAGTGAAAGCGCGTGCTTTTTTTTTTTTTTTTAATATCCACGCGCGCTGTCATTTTATTTTTAAACAGATTTGTGAGACCCGGACAAAAACTCTGCTGCCGCGACAAAACCTTTAACTTTACAGAAAACACAMTGTCATAAAACCTACAGTGCGTTAACGCTTCGTTACAAATAGTTTTCAGGACTTTTCAAGTTCTAGAAGAGTTTCACTCCACCCGGAAGTGGCTGCAAGAGAAAACGATTCAGGAAAAAGTTTCCTCAGTTAATTAAATAATAAAAACAACAACAACACCTGAACGACAGTGAGAGACGCGGCGGTGACGATCCCACAAATAAAGCAGCTGGTGTACACAGCCAGCTCCAGCAGCAGCAGCGGCGGCACCGCCATCACAGCCCGGTGGTGTGTCCGRACAGCGAGCTGCCCCAAACTGACAACACTCAGGAAGGACGGAGCACTTCCGCTTATACGTTTCAAAATAAAATGTCAGCAGAGGCTGGCTAGTTCAGATCAAAAATGTGTGTCGATAAATATGTTGGTCACCTTACAGCTCATTAAAACCTGGTTTAATTTCTCTTGAAAAATAATTCAGTTTACTAAAACATAACATTCACACAAAAGCTATATGCAGCGGTAAGCACAGCTAACCAAAATGTTAGCTTTGCTAACTCATAATCCAATCCATGCTAAACTGCTAAGCATTTAAAAAATATTGGAAGTTAATGCTTAAGAACAAATTAGCAGAAACTAACACTAATCGCCAACAGATAAGCCCACTGTCGTGTTTGTCTCATTGAAGCTGGAGACTGGTGGGATTAACACAAACCTGTTGGTGTTAGCTTGTTAGGTAACTAAGTTTTACAACATTTGACGTTGAACGAGAAAATAAAAACAAAATGTTTAAATATCCAAGCTGCCAAGCTTTTGTTTTGAAGGTATGAAACATAGAYTTCCTTTGGTAACATTGCTTGTGTTTTGCTTTACTATAAATTCAGCCCTCAAAATCCAGTCTTTGCGGTTCAGTTTCTGCCCAAAGAAGTATTATTTGTCCCACACTGGAGTTAATAAACATGGACACTGCTGGCTAAAATCCTGCACATTGGTTTTCATCACGTTAACAACTCATTTGTGACAGAAAACAAAATATAAAATGCTTTGGGAAACTCATGCTATGATCAGAGGTTTACTACATGGTTTGGAATGATGTCATTTTAAAATTAGATTTGTGTGTATTTGTTATTTGGCTGGAGGTTGTACTCAATCCCCTCCAGTCATACTACATCCTGCAGCACTAAATCAAGTCTTGTGACTTGTCATCTGACCACATCATTTGTTTCTGGATGTGAAAAGATGGTGACATTTCTCCCAACATTTCCCAACAGCATCTATTTATTCCCACTAATATTAATTCATTAATATGATGGAAGGAGGTGAATAAACTCAATAAGTGTTTATAACTGTGTTCATATCCAGACACAAAGCATTGTTTCACTTTAATTTGCTGATCAGTTTAAAACATCAAAGTTCATTGAAGAGGCACAGCTCTAAAGAAGTCAAACATGCACACTGTACAATAAAAAAAGAGAGGAATGAAAAGAACAGAGATTACACTGCAGAATGTACATCTGGGAAACATGCTCTTGAATTCACACCACAAAAATTTATAAGGGAAAAAAAATTACTTTGTTTTAGTTAAGAGTCACAATACACAAAATCCAATTATAATTCAGTTAAAATTGAGTAAATGTACAAGAGTCGCATTTTTTTTATCATCACATTAAAACAAGTTTTAAAAAAAGAGAAAAAAGCACTCCAAGATAACAGAAAAATATTAATTTGAATTCAGTAGTCTGCGTGTTGACAGGTTTACAACTTAAATAAGTCACGCACAAAACTGTAAAATAGTAAATTGCTGAGCAAACATCAAAATACACAAGCAAAAGAAATCCTCCAAGTATCACATCTTTAGTTCAGAACAATCCTAAATAATTCCTAGTATTGTACAACCGACCAAATATATTTTCCAACATTGCTAACAAATGTTTTTATGCCTCTTTTTTTTTAAATAAATGCAAAAAAGTAACTTCAGAAAAGTTTCAGCCTTGTTTTGATGGAGAAAAACAAGAGAAGCACACTGATGAATCCAAACACAAGGCAGCAGGTTTTATTTTCAGTGAAATGATGATATTTAATATTTGATAGTCTTTAATAACCACAGCTAAAGGAGAGCAGCACTGACACGTTTCAATGGTTTTCTTTCATACATTTTAACAAACCTGTTTT